GATTAAAGTCAATTTCAAAGTGAGGCGATGTGGTTCCTTGAAATAGTCCCATTTGTGACCTTTTTTCTAGAGTGTTTATTGGTATTTACACTTAAAAAATGCAGTCTTCTCGTGAAAAGCAGAGCACACCTAAATGTGCTGTTTTTCCACACATTGAAAACAGCACATGTAGAAAAATCACTCGGTTTCATCTTGGACAAATCTGACATTGGAACGCCCTACTTTACTATTTTATCTGTAATTTTTGGTCACTGGTCTGAGCACTGCAGCCACCTAGCAGCAGCTACCACAGCCTGCAATGTTGGGTGTTTGGGGAACACTGGTAAATTGCAGAATTTATCTGTAAGAAAATGTTCAGCAAGTCATATGTTCTGCCTGTGACAAAGTCGGAGGTGCGATCAACTTTCTAATTTGGTTGCACCGATGCTACCGGTAAGAAAGTTAGTCTGGAGAAATGACTGTTTTTCTTGTAAATGTACCACTTTAATCTCAGAGCATACCTAAATTGTTTTTTGGGTTTTTTAAGCTTTGTATGTAGCTGTTTCTAGCTAAAATGAACCTTGGGATTTAATAAGAGCATTAACTGCAATGGACCATGTCAAAGTAGCTACAGTTAGGTCTGTGGACATTTAGGCTCTGCACACCACCACAATGGATTTGAAATGAAAGAATCAAGATGTGCCATGAGTGCAGACTTTCAGCTTTAATTTGAGGGTATTTACATCCAAATCAGAGGAACAGTGTAGGAATAACAAAATATTTTATATGTGCCCTCCACCTTTTTTAAGGGACCAAAAATAACATAAATGGCCTAGAGTTCATTTCAAGTGTCATATTTGCGTGTGGAATCTGGTGAGGTCAACTTTCAACATGAAGTCCAAAGAGTTGTCACCGTCAGCGAAGCAAGCCACCATTAGGGTGAAAAATCAAAACAAACCCATCAGAAAGCAAAAATACTAGGTGTGGCCAAATCAACTGTTTGGTACATTTAAAAAAAAAAAAAAACACACACACACACATTGGTGAGCTCTGCAACACCAAAACACCCAGTAGACTACGGAAAACAAGTGTGGTGGATGACAGAGGAATCATTTCCCTGGTTAAGAAAAACCCCTTTACCAGTTGACCAGATCAAGAACACTCTCCAGGAGGTAGGAGTATCTGTGTCAAAGTCAACAATTAAGAGAAGACTTCACCAGACTGAATGCAGAGGCTTCATCATAAAGTGTAAACCATTGGTGGGGCTCAAAACCAGGAGGGCCAGATTAGAGTTTATCTAAACGAGTCAGTGCAGTTCTGGAACAACATCCTATGGACAGATGGGACAAAGATCAACTGGTACCAGAATGATGGGAAGAGAAGAGTATGGAGAAGGGAAGGCACTGCTCCAGATCCAAAGCATAGCACCTCATCAGTGAAGCATGGTGGTGGTAGTGTAATGGTGTGGGCATGTTTGGCTGCCAATGGAACTGATTCTCTTATATTTGTTGATGATGTGACTGCTGACAAAAGCAGCAGAATGAATCCTGACGTGTTTCAGGCAATATTACCTGCTCATATCCAGACAAATACTTCAGAACTCATTGGACGGTGCTTTACAGTGCAGATGGACAATGACCTGAAGCATACTGTAAAAGCAACCAAAGAGTTCTTTAAGGCAACAAAGTGGAATGTTCTGCAAAGGCCAAGACAATCACCTGATCTGAATCCAATTCATCATGCATTTCAGTGCTGAAGACAAAACTGAAGGGAAAATGCCCCAAGAACAAACAGGAACTGAAGACAGCAGCAGTGGGAGGCCTGGCAGAGCATTATCAGAGATGAAACCCAGCATCTGCTGATGTCTATAGATTCCAGACTTCAGGCTGTCATTGACTGCAAAGGATTTACAACCAACTATGAAAAGTGAGAATTTGATTTATGATTATGTCAGTTTGTCCAATTACTTTAGTCCCCTGAAAAAGGTGGACGGCACATATAAAATGTGTTGTAATTCCTACACCGTCCCACTCATTTGGATGCAAATACACTCAAACTAAAGCTGAAAGTCTGCATTTAAAGCACATCTTGATTGTTTCAATTCAAATCAATTGTGGTGGTGTTTAGAGCCAAAACGCTGAAAATTGTTTCAGTGTCCAAAAATGTATAGACCTGACTCTCCATACCTGAAATTGTAGCCAGGAGAGACAGCATTCTTCTGTGACATGGCATCTAGTCGGGTGAACGAGTACGAGGGGTTACACTGGTCGTCTGACTTGTCCAGATCGCACATCCAGCCAATCTTTATTCCAATCACTCCTCCCTGAAAGGATTATAAAAAAAAAAGAGAGAGAGAGAAAGATACATGAATTTCTGTGTTTGGGCTCAACCCTGTATCTTAAGAATTACATTTAAATGCAACTACACTGGATGATGTGTTTTGGAGAAGTGATGTCCTCCCTGTTTTATGTTGCACAAGCAACGTTTTGTTTCTATGCAGGAGATACATTTTTATACCTCAGTAAACCTGGCTTCACATTTTCATACTCAAGACTTGCCCAAAAAAAAAAAAACAACAGTAAAAGATGAGAAAATTTAAATAAATACATTGAAATGAACTTGTTACTAAACTGAAGAATTATGTGGAAGTACAAAAGAAATAATTGTTCTGTCATATTGGTTCTATAGGAATCCTAGCTAGTCAGCTGAATATGACTAGATATGGAATGATGGAAATATTGCCACACAGAGTTATCTTAAGGATGACTTTTTCCAACTGCAAAGGCCCTTGATTAGCATGATTTTATTGAAACTGCCAGTCTGCAACTACCATCCACACATAGCTTACGACTTGACTTGTCTGTCAGATTACTGAGAGCTGAATTACTTAAAATCAACCACTGCAACACTAAATTCCTACTATAATAAGAAATAAGACAGTTGCAGGCAATACATTAGTATAAAGCAGTACACCTTAAATAGCTACTCAGGGATACTGAGAAACCAGTCTTGAGAACACTTTATAATAAATACTGCTGCAAGGTACAAAGCATTGAACATGGACCAAGTGTTGTAGTAACGGGCCCTGTAGGTACCCAGTATTTATTAAAATCAGTGTTCTTGTTTTATTTTATTGTACCTACATTTGAAGGTTTGGCTGCCATCAGTGAGTATTTTATTATTACCTGATTCAGACAACAACAACACAGGGTAGATCATGAGCTGTATTATAAAGACATGACACAGGCGTGCCCCCAAACCTTAAAAGTATTGCTTGTCTCTACCTTGTCTGCCAGTTTAGTGAAGTTCTGCTGTGCGTAGCGGACAACGTCTCCCACTCTGAAGATGGGGCAGTAGATGTTGTTGGCCATGTCAAAGCTACAGTTTTTGATGTAATCAGCAGTGATGTTTGGAAGGAAGTTCCCTCTGCACACATACATATCAACATGTCAGACGTTGTTATGGAAATCATTATAAGCATCATATTTACCTTCATAATCCATGAGACACTTTGGGCACAGGTCAATGACATTGTGTCTGTGATGTAGTGTTGTTCTGTCCTCTCCACAAAGTTATACTCCATTGAGAGTGTTTTGTCCCACCATTTTTTTTTTTACCTGATAATTCTGTTTTTCTTCTTTTGTGAATAGTGATAGTTTACTTTGAAGTATAGAGTAATGCCCAAGAATTGGAGTTATGCTCCTTGTTTCCAGGTGAGGTGGAGAACTTTAAGTAACCTTGTAAACACACACACACACACACACACACACACACACACAAACACACACAACCTAGCAGAGCTGCCTAACTGCACAATCCAAATCCTCTGCAAAACTTTCAGTTTCATTTTTCCTGCCCCCAGTGTGTGTCAGAGCTAACTGTGCAGTACTTGGTGTAGTTGAAGTATGGGAAGCGGATGCTGTTCTTAATGAAAATGGTGAAGTTCTCCACTTCCATCATTGGCGTACTGGGGAAAAGAAAAAGAAAAAGAAAAGCATAAAATCACTTCATTTAGTTATGACTAATATACTTAAAGTGTGCTATTTTCAACATACTAACAATGTACTTAGTATACTAATGGTTCATTATCAGTGCACATAAAAATATATAAAAATATAACTAGCTTTTTCTATCAATGCTGTACTGAAATATAAACTTAAGGTGTATTATTCCACTGCTGGGACTACGTACAAATAATATTTTTTAAATATTTTGGGGGGTAGTATACTATGTGGAAATATACAAATTCACAGCTTAAGTGTTAGTTCTTATTAGTCTAAGCACACTGAAGTACTAGTAAGGGTGTGATGGATTTTTTTTTTTGCTACACATTTATTAATAACAATTTACAAAAATATGCTAAAAGTGCACTTGTTCAGATTTCTAACAAAAAACACAATCCTCATTAATTTATTCATTCAGTTCAACTCTACTATAGTGGGTTGAAGTCACAAATCTCAAATGTCTTGAAATAAATCCAAAACTCTCTGCAAGGCTGGACATCACGAGAGTTAAATGATTTTTTATTAAGGAATGCTTTATTACTACACATAGAGATACGTCTGAATTGGCGTGAATATCACAATCTTGTTTTCCTGATAATCCCGATCAGTGTTTCAAGTCACTATTCTTTATTGGCACACCAGTGTAGAACAGCTGTAGCAAAGCCTAGTAAAAAGATCTTCATCACATGCACAGTATGATCTTACGTCTTGATGGTGTCGATCTCGGCAGGACACCACCCTTTAATCTCACACATCTTGATGGTGGTGTTGAAAGGAACACATTTCCCTGTAAGAATTCCTAAGCAGGAAGAGAGAAGCTACTAAGCAAATAGGGAAGGCAAAAAATACAGTATACAACAGAAGTAAGTACAGCCATGTAAAATATCATTGAAACATTGTCTAATTGTATCCGTAGCTGTAACTGAATTACTTTAACGATTATCAACAAGATCATGTTTAAGCAGTTAAGCTGATTGGTAATCCCAGCTGTACTCAGTTTTGCTTCCTCGATCACAGGTCTTCTAACTTGTGTGTCAGCTCTTGTTGGTATTTGTTTTAATCAGAGGAAATACTTTTTTCAACTTAAAAATAACACATTTATTAAGAGGTGACACAGCTTTAAATCATTTAACATTTAAGTGATCTTTTAGAGGTGTTACTTGTGTTAGATACTGTAAATGTGAGGGTTATCAATAATAAAAGAGTTTGGCATATAACAATCATAAAATGTTTCACAGCAAATTTGGTCAAGAAGAAACGAGAAGAGAGGACAAAGAGAGAGACAAGAGGTCTCACCATAACTTCCTGGCTTATTGCGATGCCTCGAACAGTTGCTGTCCTGGGTACAAATATACTTCTTCTCACTCTGAGTAACACACAATCAAATATATGCATTAAAACTGCATATTAACTATTAATTCGTTATCAGTGTGAAAGACTTGGTAAATGTTTTGCCTCACTGTTTGGTTTTACAAGCCTCAAATCCATTGCTTTGCTTTAATTTCAGTATGTCCATCATTTGCAGCAGAAGCAGGTAGACATTTTTAATGGAAAGTCTCATAAACCCACTGTGCACTGCCTGTTCAGCAGCAAACAGTAGACAGACACTGTCAATCACTATAGAATAGAATAAAATAGAATAAAACTTTATTGATCCCTTCGGGGTAAATCTCAGGGAAATTGTTGAGCAGTCCATATTATGTGTTAGAGCCAAATTGATTATTTTACATTTGATAATAATGTAGTTGAAGATGGGAATGGTAATATTGGAAACTGATGGTTTCATTGTGGTTTGGAAGAATGTGTTTATTAAATGCATGACTTGCTGCTGATAGGTTTGAGAGCAGTTTGATTTGTGCTTCCAACTAAATAATGTTGCGTCACTGTGATGCAGTTGATGAGGCTTGTTGGTCAGATTGAGGCCAGAGACGTGGGAAGGGACATAGTTTTTTCACCGTGTGAGTCTGTACAATTTTTGATCTTTTTTTTTACTTAAACCATTTAAAAGGAAGAACTCGTCTCACTCGCGTTTCAAATATTAGTTGCTAGACTGACTTCAAAACGTGGTACAAAGAAGAACAGAACAGAGTGCCGCTACACAATTATAGTCCAACTATGGAGCATTCGGTAGCTAAAGAGCCAGGTATTTTCCTTAGGAGTTGGTTGAGACTTCTTGAGGCATGGTTAAGTTTAACTCTGTCTCTGTAACATGGAGATCTGTAACACTACATTTGGAACCATAGCTGATGCCTTGTATTCATAATCAAGTTGCTCTGTATTCAAACGTTGCAACTTCACAGTACAATGACAGAAACATTAGTTTACCATGTTGAGTTCAACTTATAAATCATGTGTTTAAATCTGTGATAGTGCTAACAGTAATAGCAGACTGGTAGGCCATGTAGCAAGAACTTGAGAAAATGCAACTTAAAATTTAGAGGTAATGATTGTATATAAAGTCAGTGGAAAAATAATATAATAACAACAGAACTGCAATAGTAATAGTGACAGTGGCTGACCTCAGGACAGTATCCTTGGACTTGATTCTCTGTAGTGATAAGTTTAGTGATAATGCAGAAGACTGAGGCGCCCTGAGGAAAAGACATGCAGCAAATATTAGTGTCTAAAATCTACAGTATCTGTCCATTGTTTTATCCATTGATCCATTCATATACCCATACCTGTGTTGGAGTGACATAGTCTGCAACATCCATGACTCTGTTGTTGTAGATTCCAAAACCTTTGACCTTGGTCATCACTGAAGATTCAATCGCTGTGTCTCTCACCTGGTAGGCCTTCTCATAGAGAAATACCCACCTAAAATACACACAAAAAGAAATGTGACACTGAGCAAAGACTGGAATTTAGACATGTGCTGCACAGTAGGGCAATGATAACACAAGCTTTAAAACATTAAAGAGACAAAATCTTGTATGTTTATTGCTGTGAAAGCCATCCATCCATCCATTATCTATACACCGCTTAATCCTCATTAGGGTCGCAGGGGGGCTGGAGTCTATCCCAGCCGACTTAGGGTGAAGGCAGGGGACACCCTGGACAGGTCTCCAGTCTATCACAGGGCTACACTGAGAGACAGACAACCAAGCACACTCACATTCACACCTACGGACAATTTAGAATCACCAATTAACCTCAACGTGTTTTTGGACTGTGTGGGAGGAAGCCGGAGAACCCGGAGAGAACCCACGGTGCACGGGGAGAACACGGAGACTCCACGCAGAAAGGTCCCGGGTTATATTATATTATATTATATTATATTATATTATATTATATTATATTATATTATATTAGACTGGCAGTCACCTGCATGCTGCAGTCTAAACAGTTATGAGCCAAAAATACAAAAGAAAATACATTTCAGTTATAGTTTATTCTTTTTAATAGACGTAGACTTTTAACTTGTGCTTTAAATCTGCTCTTACTTCATTTGTGTATTGTGCAACAATAAAAGACACTGTTTTAAACCACAATTGTTGTCTGCACAACTCTCTAGTACAAACTTGTCTTTTCTTGAGGTCACACTTTACACCCGTAGCACAGCATTTAGTTAGCTTCTTTGTTTTTGATCAGTGGCAAGTTCAAATATTTCTAATGTTCATTATTGTGTCGTAGCTGTGAACTGGTTGAGAGGTTTTTTTTTTCCAAAACTCATAGTCTGATTTAATGCCTGTAAGATTAAAAGATTATACATAACATTAAAAGATTGTTTTAAAAAATAATCTAAACCATCCCTTTATCTTTTTCCAGGACAGCTGCTAATGGTGGTAGTAGTAAGCCATTAATAAAGACCATAACAGAGGAAAATGCACTGTGTAATAAATCCCAGCTACAGATAATGAACTGTCAAAAATGTCAACAATGTGTGTAACCAGCACTAGGTGATTGACAACATAAAACCACAAGCAGAAGAGTTACATCATTTAATACGTTAGGTATTAATTTGTGTTGTGATCACATTACACAAAACATAAAATGGAATTCTAAAATGAAATTTTGATGAACCAAAAGTAACAAACACACATTAAAACTCTGCCTATGACTGAATTTAACTACACAAAAAGTAATATGCACAATTTGATTGGCTGACAAATACTTTTAACATTCTCAGTAGATCTCTGTAACACTAAACATTTAAATGCTTTACAGTAAAAATATGCACATATATATATTTATTTTAGATCAGACATCACATTAATTGCCTATTAATTACTCTGTGTACAATTTAGTAATGAATGCCTAAGCCATTAATTTAATGTGAAAGTCTTGTAAATGTACTTTTCTGCAATCGGCAGCTGCGGTTGTTTCATTCAACAAGACAAATGCAAATACTGTATAATCTCAAACATACGCTCACCCAATGAAGTAAGTGATGATAAGAAGTTGAACAACACGGTTGATGATGCCGATGGTCCAGCTCTTCACAACCACCGACTTAGTGGTTTCGTAGGTAAAGAAGTTTTTCATACAAGACCACATCCTAGCAGTATGTGTATGTGACAAAAGGTGGATATGTTTTGTTTCTGTATTTTCCGTTTGGAACTGAACTCCAAGTGAAGCAGCTGTTAGTGGGTGTCCATAAAGCAGTTACACATTTAGGTCCCTAAATGTGGCTGACATCTCCATTATTATTTTCTTCAAAAAATAAAAACAGAACATCAATATTTTAGGTCCAACAAGGAGAGAGGGAGCCAGATATCCAACAGCTGTATCTCTTCACACTGCAAAGCTACTTTTCAAAGCCCTGTAGCTCAAGGACTCCAATCTTCAGCTGATGCTCACTTCCTGGTACTTCTGGATTCATGTATCATAATGACCAGCCAGTCCAGATGCAAACAGCTTTTTCCTCTCTGTCTTTGTCTCTCTCTCTTCCTTCACTTTTTCCTCCAATTGTTTTTTTCCTTGCCTCTCTCTGTATCTCCTATTTCTGACTCTCTAGTCCCCTGTTGATGATCTAAGTGCCTCCTGAAAGCCCCACTCCCTCCTCCTGCTCACTAGCACCATGGACATTCATGGGCAAGTTTTCTGTGTGTGTGTGAGTGTACAGCATCCTGAGAAAAAATAAAAATTAAAAAAAATCTGTCAAAGGTAAAGCACCTATTTCAATTTTTTTTTGTTCAAGAAAGTATTCCCAACTAGCTTTAATTTGGCTTCAACATAATTCTACACTGTTGCTTGTTAGTTTGTGGTAATGGAGTAATTCTGCCATACATGTTTGCACTGGAACTTGATTCTGAGGAAGAATAATGGATACATTGGGTCCCACTCTGCAAGCTGACAGGATTGGTGCCATATTTTGTACCATATGAAAGCCTGGAAGTTTGAATCTGGGTTTTTGAGACTGTCATTGGTACACTGCAGCACTGAGGAAGAGGAGCAAGATATGAGGGTAAACTTAATGCATCCAAATTAACCATCATCACTCAAGTGGCCTCCATCTGATGACATCTGTTGGTGCCCATTGCACATGTTTTCACACCTATCCCAGCTGCAACTGCAATTAGGAGGCAAAGACAATACAAATTTGGCATTAAGACCAACAGACAATAAAAGGACTTCTGGGAATTTAGATCAATGGAGGAATGACTTGTTTGCATAGTTTTCTTTAGGTGCTTTAAGTACAGCATTGTTATGTATTTCATTTGTCGTGTTGTAGCACTAGCCATTACAAGTGTCAAAAAACACATGACATTTTCTGTAATGTGTGGTGAATTATCAGTTTCTGTATTCAATAGTGTGTGTAAGGCAAACTGCACCTCATACGTCATTCAATTTTAGGATAACATGGAGGCAGCTTTTACCTTTGTACATATGACTCCTACACATTTTTTAGGTCCTATAAATGAATCCACACAACCATTTTGGCATGTCAGAATAGCAGAAAACTGGAGCTTTGGCTTGTTTTACTTCCTATTCTCATGTTCGCAGGCTCAAAAGTTTGTGAAATCTTAACCAAAGACTTTACTTTCTAGAAAAAATATTTGTTGTTTAAGTGCATATATGCACTTAAAGGAACTTTGTAGGGCACCAATACCACCCATGTTTTTAAAAATAGCACATTCTTCCTTGTTCAGGGGCAAATAAATAACATTTTGGCTTCTGGAGGTACTGAACCTTTAAAATGGCCTCTGAAGTAAGACATTGAAGGGTTGGGGGAAAAAAAGGGTTCCAAGGTCTACTTTTTTTTTTTTTTTTTTTAATTCAGCCAAAGTGCTATGACAGAACTTAATTAAACGCTTAAACACGATGCTGCCACTTGCAAGGTGAAATTGCAAGTGGTCACAAAAACACATTAAACACAGGCCCTCATGTTGATTGTGTGCCACACATAATCCTGACTTACTGCTCACTCCTCTTGCACATACATGACTGTACCGCACTCAGTTTGTGCACAACAGGAACATAATCACAAGTTTTTCTGCATGTTTTTGGATTGCAGGTCTTCAGAATACGACTTCTATTACATAATCACTGTTGTGTAGCTGATCAGTTCTATGATATTCATTTAAAGACTCAAACTACAATCTATCTATCATGTGAAAGTACACATGATAGACATGACACATGACACATGATAGCATGTACAAAATGTTAGTATCAGTCCCATGGGTCCGGCTTCTCCTCCGAACACACACTTGCAATCCAAATCCAGGAGACAATACGTCACGCTAATTCAGTCACACAAACTTTTATTAGATGCGAACCAGAGAATGATAAAATACTATTGATTCTTTCTTTTTCTCTGGAGAAGGTTGGGAGAAAACAACATGGGAATAGTCTGACACACCAGATGTAGATTGCAGGCATAAACCTGCCATTCGCCTTGCATTTTACATGTCTGTCTCCTCCCCTTTCCACCATCTGCATGTCACCATTTTCAAAATCCCTTACCCTGTGGCAAACCATAACAATCTACCTAGCAGCCTAACATGCTGAATTTTTCAGTTTCTATATGCAATAAGGCAGGCCTTATAGTTTATCTCAGTGAACTGGCCATTTTTAGGATAGTTCTTGCCTCCTTGCATGCAAATGTTCCACCAAAACAATTGCCCCCATCCCATTGCTATTTTGTGGGGATGCTGTTGCTGCATCCTTTACTTATCTTTGCACAATATGATTGTGGTTGGTTTAATGAAATACAAATAAGCCATAGCATTTTTCCCCCTATAGCAGAATGATGCAGAGGTGCAGCCAGACCATTCTGTGCTGCAAAAAATAGCAGGGATGGGAGCAGGATAGAGGGAAATAAGAGGTAGGAGTGAAGAGAATAAAAAATGACAAGGAGGGACAGGTGAGAAGAATTTCAAACCTTTGTCTATTCAGCATTTGAATGTTATTGCCTGATGAAAACCTACACATCAAAACATAAACATGTCTGATCAGGCATCCAGATATATGAACCACAAGCTGTAAGCTGTTTGTGATTTTAATATTATGTATACGTAAACAGACACTGTACCTAAAGCAAACCCATTATGTAATTAGTATGTGTTTGTATTTTACCACCATTAACAATGCTGCTATATTGACCTGCAGTTGTTGCTATCCTAAGTAAAGAACATCATGGCATCAATTACTTTTATTAAAGAGCTCCCTCAGATTCACAGGTCATAAATCAGTGCATGTGAATATAGGCATACAGAGACGTGCTGCTGGTTTGTAGGTGCTGTTATTACAGCTAAATAAAACAATAAAACACATAAGGTCTTTACA